TGAATCCCAGCTGTACTTCTTCCTTCGCCCTGTTTGCAGATTAACAGTCCACATGTTGGCTGCTCGAACTCTGATTCGCTCCCTCGAGATGGAAGCAAGAGACAACAAAGGAGAGCGTGATGAGGAAGTGAAGAAGAAGGTGGAGGAGTTGAGCATCCAATCAGGAGTGAGCAGTGCCTTTACTGCCTTTATTGCTGTTAGTAAAAGCAGTGGTGAGGCGATACAAGGACCCCTGATACCACCACCCAGTGAGTGTTAGCACTGATATTTGATTTATTCTGAAATAGTGAATGTTCAAAGTTCTGCTGAGGTTTTTTTCTTTCAAGTCCTACTTTGTGAGCACAGGGCTGTACTAAGAAGTGTCATTATTGGCTCAGCAAAATATGTTGACATTTGAGTTTTCAGTGTCATGAAGATGGCTCGCTTTTTATCTGATTACATCACCATGGTAACTTGTGCTTAACACTTGCCCTGTCTAGAGCGAGTTACATCGTCTCAAAGCACAGAATTTTGCCTGATTCTTTCACAACCCCGAAGTTGGGACGCTCTTTAAATTGTAAATAAACACAGAGAGCAATTACATACAATTTAGAAAACATATCAAATGTTAATAAGAAAGAGGTAACTAAAAAAAGTAATAATAATGAAGTATTTTGGAATTTGATATCAGCTACACATCACAAAAAATTGAGACAGGGGCAACAAAACGCTGGAAAAATACATTTAAAAAGAAACTTGCAGGAATATTTTGCAACGACTTAGGTTAACTAGCAACAGGCCACTAACCCGTTTTAAACATTTATGTTCAGCACATCTAGTCTAATGTCCTATAGGAATAAAATTGCCATTATCATTAGTGTCTAGGAATTGCTAGAAGACAAAGAATTTTTATTAAATTATCTGTATCATTTTTTTCGTTTGTTATATCTTAGTGGTATTATTGCTTTTGTTGCCCTTTTGCATCTTTCTCCCTTTATTGTGACTTTACTTTATCTTGTTCTGTCCTCTTCTGGTGTTTGCGCTTCTGTTTGAAGCACTTTTTTAAAATGATGATGATGATAAAGATGATGATTGTTTTGTGTGACACAGCTTTAAAACAGTGTAATTTGGTGGATTCCTGTGAGAGTCAGCCAAGCGCCAGTAAGGCTAAGTACTGTTACTTTTTGACACACACACACACACACACACACACACTTGTAACGACCTTGAGATTTTCCACAAATTTCACTTGATAGATTTTTTTTTTAACCTTTTCTGAGAAGTGCCACAAATTTCCAGCTACACCCACATTGTAAGAGTCTCAAATGATAAAGGCAAACATTCTGTGTACATGTTCAGTTTCTTAAAGCATAAAGCAGGATTGATGGTCCTGCAATTGTGTCTATTCCTGTACATATTAGTGTTTGAGAGGGCGAGGGGTTTCTCTCCAGACGCCTTCTCACACTGTCCACCAATATCTTGACGGCACATTGCAGGAAGAAAATGATGTTATCTTGTACTGAATACTGATTGGTTGATAAGTGGGCTGGAATAAAGATGGGAGAGACAGTTGAGTTTGCTGGAAACAGGAGATCTGTGAAAAAACTAATTTTAAAGTTAAAAAATTACGGCTGGCTGATGGACAAAAACAGAACAAGCAAGAGTGGCACACAGACCGGTTGTACCGCACACTTTGTGCGTTGCCTCCATTTGGAAACAGAGCTTACTGCAGGCAGATGGGCAGTCCCTGATGTGGAGCAGACAGTGCATACGTTACCTCTGCTGGACATAAATCCCACTTAACATATAACTGATCCTTAGCCAAGCTCCATCAATGTAATGTTAAGGATGTAAAGTAACAGAAATTTTATGGTTTTTATCTCTGCAGGGATTTCTGTAACGGAGAAACTGAGATCAGGTAAAGGATTTACTCTTCCGAGATATTGAATCTCTGTGTAGACACACACGCACACACAGAGTTTAGTGCATTAAGTCTCCAACTTAATGAAGAAAAAAGAGAGATGTCCTTGTTTGTGGCCCAGCAGATTTGAACCTAATGAAAGTGGAAACAAAGTAATGGACACTTTATGCCACATTTGCTAATGTTAAATGTTTGGTTCACTTTTGTTTTTAATCACTTGCCAAGCTGAGTTCTGTGTATCAGGGGCTGAATTGGAATTTGTTATTCATGCCTTCATTTAATTAAGGTTATTATAACTGTTCACTTCTCCTAAGTTCCTCTCTGGAACATCAGCAGATCGTTCAGGATGCCGCTGTGAGGCTTCACACTTCATTGCATCCACTGCATCAACTTCAGACTGCACTTTAAGATTCTGGTTTTGACTTTTAGAGCTTTTTAGAGCTCTGCATTGACAAGCACCAGCATAAATCAATGAAATTTCCCAAAAGATGGAAAACAAACCAAAAGCTAACCCAAACAAACCAGACATATGCATACTGGGAATAGGAGAGGTCGAATTTTAACATCAACCCCCATCAACCCAACAAGTGTGCGTCCTCTGAGGATCCATCTCTCACTTCCTGCCCACTCATCACACTTACATTCTTGTCATTAAAGCTACCCTACCTTCCAAAAAATAAAAAATAAAATTATTGTTATTACCAAAATTATTCACACATGTAATCTTCCAAAAGGTTATTTTTGACTTTTTTCTTTTGACTGAACTAAAAGTGAATCACACATTTTTCACATAGAAGTAAAAATACATCTTCATGGTTTGCCTGAAATTTTTCCCATCAACAGCCTTCGGCTGCATTAACTGCCACTTCAAGCATGCTCAAAGCTGCTCACCTCAGAGGAAGGGTAAGTCAACAAGTGACATGTTTACTTTTTTTCTCTCTTATTTTTGCTAATAAAGTACACATGTCAAAAACTCTGTGAAATACAAGACACATGCATGTATCTGTCTGTAACAATAACCTACAGTATGTGCACTTATTTTGTGCTTTTAATGTTTTCTTGAACTGCTCTTTTTCTGGAGTTGCATGATTTTGTACAGAATACATCTTTAGTGCCTTAAAAACTATGACATGGGTCCACAGGTTTTTAATCTAATCCACGCAGGGTCAAAATTATGCACGCGGGTCCATATTTATACACATCTGCCACTAATATTTAATGTGCCTCAACAAGTTGCACCTTGACTAGACGCTCTTTGTAGCATCAACAAGCTTCTGGCATATTTCTGCTGCTCTTCTTGGCCAAGCCCCAAATTACCATGATATTCATATATGTACCTTTCTTATCACAGCCACCGAGTCTGAGCTGTCAGTCAAAGACCCTTTGCTGCAGCTGGTTTCCCTGCTGGAAGCCTCTGGATGCTGGTTATTGACGCCAGCTTTGGCCTCTGTGCTGGGGAAGACCAGCAAGCAGGTGGCAAACCTGAAACCTGCATCGGTGGGTAATCATCACGTATTCAGTGATAGATGTTTAAGCAGCAGTGCATTAGTAGTATTACACAGCATCAAAAGTCTGGTAGACAAAAATAATGTATTTATTAATTTATTTAATTTTTACACCTTTACTCCAGCTAATCATATCTAAGTGTAAGGGCAAGAGCCTGCAATCTCAACATTAGCACTGCTTTTAATTTGTGGAGTTAGGCCAGCAGTGAAGTGTGGGCCACCATTCTGGCTCTGATCTGGCTTCATGGTTTCAAGATGGATGCAAAGGACGAGTGGGAGCTTCTGGCTGTGAAGGCTGCCTCATGGCTCCGTGCTCAGAATGGTAATGAGACTAATAAATATTGAACTGCTGTTTTCTTTTTTGTGTTTTTGTTTTACAGTGTGTTCTGTTTGTGCTCAATCTTGCTTTATTTTCAGCGACGTGTGTGACAGAGTGTGTGGAGGCCGGTAATGCGCTGCTGGGTTGCAGAGTAACGAAAGATGCTTTGGGGCTCTGAAGTTGCTCCTCCTTCAGAATTCAACTTTATGTATTGCATATTATCAGTGTTCACTAGAACCACAGACGGTAACTTTTTAATGGGCAGCGGGGGGTGACTCCTCTGGTTGCAGAAAGAAGTCGTTGTATGCCTACGGGTAAACATCTTTGTTGTTTGCGGTATAAGTTTACACTTTCATAGAGGGGTTTGTCTTTCTGAATGCAGCATGATGTTCATTCACTAAATTCTGTTCCTGATTAGAATCAAAAAGGAGAAAATCACCTTGTGATGTGCCATGTTTCTGCCAGTGGTGGAAATACTCAGCTCGATGCTTCACATAACTAATGCCTAATGTAATGGTTGCTACAGTTTATGCATACAAACTAAAACATTCTGCACAATTGTTTTTTATTTTATTTTCTCCAATTGTCCCTGAGAGGCATGTGAGTGAGTGATCAGCTATATCTCATCTATTCAGTTCAGTTTTATTTCTATAGCGCCAAATCACAACAGCAGTCATCTCAAAGCACTTTACATTGTGGGGTAAACGCCCTACAATAATACAGAGAAAACAGAGTCTTTGAGATGCTTTGTGCTTTCTGTGACACTCGCCTGCGATGCTTAGCTGAACCAATTATCAGTTCATGCACTTAAATATAAGGGCAACACTAATTGTTAGAGCATGTGTTTGCTTTTCCTGTGTTGATATAGTAATAAAGATAAATGTCTGATCTCTAATTGATGGCTTCTCTGGACGTGTTGATGTCTGTTGTATTTATCTTATCTTTCATTATTCTGTGCTTGTTCATCAGTGTGCGCATGTGAATTTGTAACTGAGTTTACTGTGCATTTGATAAAGATCCTCAACCCAAATGTAGTCTTTTTTTCTCTCATTGATAAATCTGTAACCTGTATGCCAATCAAGGAACCACATCTGCATTTTAGCGAGGCTAGAACAGTTTGTACTTCTAAGTCATGCAGTCAGTGATAGGATCTGGGAAAATCCGTCCACGAACTCCACTAAGGACTAAGAGGTGAGATTAACGGGATGCCAAACTCAGTTGAGCTATAAGCCAGAGTTTTCTGTTCATAAAAGTGGATCACTGGCTGGTACCTTATGCTCAACATCTGTTAAGAGTTATGGTTCAAAGTCTGGAAGTGCCACATTTTCACAGATTTTTTTTATTTTATTGACAGCATGTTTTAAGTGCTGTGTGGATTCACAGCTGGTGGAAGCTGTTTTGCATATGCAGGTTGTTAACGCATACCTGACTAATATTACACTTTTAATCACCGTTTTATCATCATCATGATCAATCAATCCCATCTCTGACCGGAGTAGGCGGCGCTCACAGGGATCGTTTTGTGTGGCACAAGATTTTTATATAGGCGCAAACCAAGGCTGAAGCAGAAAGGCTTAACAGAGATAGTTGATAAGCACTGTCGTGACACCTGTTATCTCCAGGTGGGGTTTTAGGTTTTGTTAAGCCAGCTACCACAAACAAAGCCTGGATGGTGCAACATATTTATAAACTTCCCCAATAGTATATCCTCAGGGTTAAATCACAACTCTTGCTCAGTGTTATCTGGGATCGGCTCCAGCATCCCCACAAGAAAACCAATGGGCGGATATAGCCAATTAAATACATCTACAACATCTTTAATACTCAAATATTGGCAAATATTGTTTTCTATTTTTATTTTTCCTACAATAGAGGCTTGTTTTTTCTGATATCTGCTCTTTGTCCTAATATGTGTGGCTGGGAAGGGACTGTATGTTATCCCCCTGTCATTTATAATGAGTATTATCCGCATTACTCCAGTCACTGACCTGAGATGATGCTCTATGTTGTTTTACATTGTCATCTATACAACCTGGTTTTACCTGAAAAGCTTAACATTTTAATGACTTAAACTCTATTTTAAATGTGTCTTTGAAAACTGTGCCTGCTTCTTTAGTTATTATACTGAATACTGATGTATAATGTATATCTTCTAATGTACAAAGATATAATACTACAATACAAATAATACTTGTATTCTGGTTCTTAATTTGAATACCATGAAGACAAAAGAGCAGGAGCTTATCTTCTTCTTACACGTCTTGTTTCTGTCCCACTTCACTCTTCCTGTCTTTGCATATCACTTAATTTATGGCTGTATGACCTTTAGGATTAACATGCTCTTTTAATGCAGTAGACCTTTGTGCTGCTTGTGATGACAGGTGCTCCTGTCTCCTATTTACAGGACTCAAACCCAGGCATTAATCTGGTATTACACATTACAAGGTCTTGAAGAGATCACTTTCAGTGACAAGATGATACTATCTGGCTTTGTCCAGAAACCCCCCAAAATCTGACATGGAATAGTTTCTGCATATCCTCAAGCAAGTGTATTGTGAGCTGTAGTAGAAAAAGATTTGTTCAAGTGAAAAGAACAAGAAAATTATAGAGAGACTATGATTGGGTTAGCTTTGTTTTGTAAAAAAAAAAAAAAAGAAAGAAAGAAAAGAAAGATTTTAAAAAATGAGGCATTGGCTTTCAAATTAAAGTAATTCCTATGCTGTCATTTCCCAAATTGCTGTAAGCGTATTCATTCATTCTCAGCCATTTGCTTAACATGTTTCAATGGATTAAAATAAAATATAAATGCACCACATTTGATGGACTACGGAAAAATGTGTGTTGCTGGAGGCTGATGGGGTAAACCAGAGGTAAAGAACCCGCTGCACCAAAAATCTATTGTGATTGTTTTGATTGCAAGCAGATCATCACAGTTTCTTCTAGTTTCTTGCACAAATTGTCCCAAAATAGTAGCTC